CCCCCAAAACAAAAAAAAAAAAAAAAGGTAAAAATCAATATGGACATATAAAGAAAAGGCATCTTACAGAATCACCAGGGATCACTAAGCTATGGTAATGGAGATGGTTTGGTCATCACCTGGAATTCTTATAAAGTCCCGAACAAATGATCATTTGTGCACTAAACCTTACTGAGGATTTGGGGATATTTGGGAATATGGATGCCTAATCATCAGAACCAGACTTAACACTTTAAGAATTCGCCTCTAACAATAGGCCAAAAAAAAGGAAAAGATTACTTTAAGAACTAGCAGAATGATCAAAATGATTTTTAAAAATCAGTCTTTTAAAGAGAATAAAACTTTTAGCTCTCTATGTAAACTACCGTTTTCACATTCAGCTAACAAAATACTCTAAAATTTCATCAAAGCATGCACTGTGGCAAATTTCATGAACTTTTTCTATCTATTGAAAGTCACTGGCCATCAGTAATATCTGGAATGTTTCTTAAATCAGGCAGAGAGATTTGTGGAGTTTATAGCAGAGGCTGTGGGTCAGGTAGATACAGCCTCCTCCTGCTGCTACTTAGAAGTTTTCTTGAAACAGATTCTGTTTCTCTCTCCCCTGCCATATATATGACACATTTTTTCATTAAGCAAAAAATAGGTTTTACTTTTTTTCACTCTTCTGAGATTCATCAAGTCTTCTTTAGAGGAAATAGGTAGATATTATCATTTCTTGATGATTACTATACTTTTTTTTTAAAGCCTTCATCAAATACAAGGATTACAAGGATGAAAGTATGTGTGTGTGTGTGTGTGTGTGTGTGTGTGTGTGTGTGTGTGAACATTCCCTGTCCCTAAACACCAGCAGCAGACAGAACATGAGTCAGGGTGACACAGCCAGTGGTAGCCAACCTCAAGCCTGCATCCTCATAGTGCGGGTGGTTCACAATGGGGTGCAGTGTGGACAGCTTGATGCTCGCCATTATTGGCATGGTGCCTGCGAAAACAGCATCTGAAAAGCAAGAAAACCAAAAGTTAAACTTATCCACAGTATTTGAATTCAAATTAAGAAAGATAAAGCAAACCCCACAGGTTTTGGGTGAATGTCAGCGGTAGAGCAATTACCTTACATATACAAGGCCCTGGGTTTGCTCCTTGAAACCATACATAGACAGATAGACAGACAGACAGACAGAGATAGGCAGACAGACAGAGACTATGGACATCATTCTTTTTATTCACTCCATATTTTCTCATTGCCTGCTGTTCTAATAGCTAACCTTTGTTACACTGGTGCTAGGGACTATGCTCAATATTTTCACAAGGACTAAGTGGTCCCACGTGCACACCTTCCCTCACTGCATGGGTGAAGAGGCAGAGACACAGCGAAGTGAAGTGAGTCTCCAAGACGGCACAGATAAAGGATGCACAGTTCAGCCTCTCGGCCTCTTCCTGTCATGTGTGAGCAACACACATGGAAGAGATGGAAGGGAACGTTTCATGTCTTGTGATGAAGTTAAAGCATTTAAAATGCTAGGAAACGAGAGACTGCTATGAAAGGCAAGACTCAGGGTGCATCTTCTCAAGTGATGCTGTGTTGTGAAGAGTATGGTCTTGCGGATTTGCCAGAGAACACTGCGGTCTCACCCTAGTTGGTCTGAAAATATTCATCATTGTGTTTTCTTAGTTTCTTATGTCTGAGTCTAGACCATTCATACATTTCATCAAAGCAGTTAGTTTTTTATTAGTAGTACTTTTTGAGTGTTGTGTACATATTTGGTCATAACTAAGAATATATCAAATCTAGTACCTACCTTTAGTTTCCATTTTGTTTATTGGAAGACCAAATGCTTACTTTCTGACATTTCTGTATGATAAATGTTCATGTAATTAGGAAGTTTATGATTATTTTTAGTCAGCACAATAAAATTACTAATAAAAACAAGGCAAACTATTCAGGTCTACCAAAACAGCTGAATGTTTATTTTTGACTATCACTAAGTATTCTCAGTGTTAACTTTGAAGGAAAACACAAAATACAGTATCTGTAAAATGCTGGCAGCACAGTATCACAACAGACTATTAGGCCTAGGTTGGGAAAGACTGCAATTCAAATTTGAAGCACAATTTGTAATTAATGTGTATTCTTCCACACTACTGTAAAGTCAAGAAATTGTAAGTTAACTCCACTAAGTCCATTCACACACATCACACACACACACACACACACACACACACACACACAATACCAACTAGTTAGAACTACATGTGTGTGTATGGGGAAAAGTGAGGACACATATACCTAAATAGCTGCATACCTGGTCTGGTATTGTATTTGATCCATTGTAGAAGTTCTTCCTGAGGCATATTAGTAAATTCTCCTCGTATGCTCCACTGATTATGGAGGTTTGCACAGCCTTGTATTGACATTGCTGCTAGAATGCCAAAGATAACACTCTCAAAACGAAATCTTCGAAAAAGCCAGCCAAAGAGCTGAAATAGATAAACATTTATTTATAATTCTTATAATAGAGAGTGCTAAATTCAAATATAAATTCTCACCTTATTACTAAAGCCAAGGTTTTGCTATCAACAAACTAAAGCACATAATTATAATTAGCATCACTTAGTGCTTAAGAATATGTTTGAATTACTGAGTCCAAATAAAATAAAGCTTTTTTTCCCTCTAAATAATTAT